AGCTTGGGGGGGAATGGTGGGAAAGGGGAGGTTCCAGGACCCCCACTGCAGTGTCCAGTTTTTAAATATTACAAAGTTGGCAGCTCTCGGTACAGATGCTTTTTCTAATTTAAAGATGGACACTCAAGTACTTTAGCTCATAAATATATTTAAGCAAGGGAGAAGATTTCATTGCAGGTTTTTTTTTTATAAACAGCATAAACTTGGGGGGGAATGGTGGGAAAGGGGAGGTTCCAGGACCCCCACTGCAGTGTCCAGTTTTTAAATATTACAAAGTTGGCAGCTCTCGGTACAGATGCTTTTTCTAATTTAAAGATGGACACTCAAGTACTTTAGCTCATAAATATATTTAAGCAAGGGAGAAGATTTCATTGCAGGTTTTTTTTTTATAAACAGCATAAAACCTAAATCAAAATAGATTTTCAAAAAAGTACCCAAGCAGAAATGCAGTCATCAATACAGGAAAATGAAATAGTCCAGCCTATTAGCAGTGTCAGTGCCAAAGCTGAATGGGAATTAAAATAAGTATTTTAAAATTCACTTGTTCATAAAAGTAAAAATACACACCTCTATTAAATATTATTTTTATCTTTATATTACTATAAACACATAGGCCCTGAATTTCAGACATCTATGCAATCACATTGATTTCAACTGTATTATGTATGTAAAAGTATATCATGTATGTGTGTTTGCAGGACTGGGGACTAATAATGAAATGTTGTAGGAAGCGGTTAAATTTGTCCTCTACAAATCAAACACTTGTCAATGTTGCTCTGCATATGGCACTTTCAATATGGAAAGATATGCTGATATTTTAATACAAAAAAAATCCAACCAAGTGAGTTACTGTTCTAAACCACATCCTGAAGTTTGATTACCATAAACAGTTATGCACTAGAAAAGCTATAATAGTCTGCAAACTCCTTCCTATATACAATATTCATTTTGTTACAGAACAAAATATTCATTTTGTTACAATCCCTAATGACAGTTTATACTGAAAAAGTTTAACTAATTTTCCCTTGGTTCAAAATATATCAACAGTTGCTTAAAACTGTAGAAATAATTATAGAATCATAGAATACTAGAACTGGAAGAGTCCTTGAGAGGTCATCAAGTCCAGTCCCCTACTCTCACAGCAGGACCAAGCACTGTCTGGATCATCCCTGATAGATGTCTGTCTAACCTGCTCTTTAAAATTTCCAGTGATGGAAATTCCACAACCTCCCTAGGCAATTAATTCTAGTGCTTATGATTCTTTATTATCATCCTTCAGAGCATCCTGGCTCAAAACAGCATTAGTATTGCTCTCCAGATTTCCAGTATGTTTAATAAGTTAATGAAAAAAATCAAAACCCTTTCCCTAAGCACTCTGCAGAATATTTGATACTTAATGAGCAAGAATCCTGTACCTACTCCTCAAGGACCCCACTTCCAATTCCAAGCCAAGTCAATGGAAAGACCCTCACTCACCTCAAAGAGGACATCTGATTGGGCCTAAAGTTACTTCACAATTTATGAAGTAAAGAAGCAGCAGCATTAAAACTTTATTTGTATCACAGATACAAGGCACATCTGAATTGTCACAGATAGATTAACAAACCTTAAAAAAGTCTTCAAACTGCTTGCTCTTATATAAAGCAGGGATATTGGCAGAAAACTGCAGCAGATCTTCAGCGCATTGTCTTCTTTCTTTAACCACAGATTCATCAAACCGCCCTAGGATAGAAACACAAATTGACATTTTGTAAGGACTAACTGAATATTTACTTTACAAGAAATCCTCAGAAGAGAATGCCCTGCATCTGTGAAAGTCATTCAAATGCTTCAGGAATCTGTGGCAGTCTTCACATTTAGGAGTCTCAACTGTCCCTAGAGTCTTGTCTTCTGCAATCCACTTAAATGATGAAAGCTGGCAGCTATGACAGGAATCCTTGGCTCTCTCATTCTAAGAATATGTGAGGCAACACTCTTGATTATCCAAGAGACACTAATGTGTGTCCACTAATATCTAAAAGTAACTGATGCATTCTCTTATTTGACAACAGTCTTGTAATTATGTCAGTCTTAATTATGGCCCCAATCCTGGAAGGAGCTGAGCACTCGTCGCTCACTCTCCAAAACAGTGTACAGCAGGAGGGGCAGAGGAAGTAGGGATGTGAATGGATAACCACTTCCCCTTCACAACCCCTTCCCGTGACCCCCTTAATGGGTTAACCATTATTGGTGAGCAGCTCCCACCTATACGTTACCATGGGAGGAGGGCTGCTCCAGCCCTACAGGGCTGCTGGCACCCAGCCCACGCCAGCTGTGAGTCGGCAGCCTCGTGCGGGGCCAGAAGTGGCAGTTGGGAGTGGAGGCAGGGGTTGCCGCGTCTAGCCCTGAGCAAGGCTGTCAACTCCTAGTCCCTGTGGGCTGGGAGCCAACAGCCCAGCGTGGGGTCGGAAGTAGCCAAGCTGAAGTAGCCCCTGCCCATGTTGTGGGGGCCACTTCAACCTGCCCACCCCCTTTAGTCGGTTAACCGGTTAAACTTAATGTTTAACCCGTTAACTAATACAACAGGATTTTACATCCCTAAGAGGAAGTGCTACTAAATGCAGATGATCAAGAGATAACATTATGGAGTTGTATTTCCTCAGAGATTATTTATTGCAGCTATAAGCAGTGTCAGCCTAATTACAGCCAGGCTCCTATTCCTTCCCTTGTGGATACAAGAGATTTGCAGAGCTGGGAGGCAACACAGCCTTCAAAATTCACACTCCTTCCCTTACTACTTCCCCATGCTGTGCCTCAAACCTCTCACACCAACAGAGATTTTTAAGGAAGAATCCCACAGTTTCACCTTTTAGAGTTCCACCACCATTGCCTCTTCCTGATGGTTGAGGGGAAATGGAATTAATAATCTGGACTATTGACTATCTGTACATATTATGCAATTTAACCCGATCTCCTGACTTTCATATCAATTATGTCACAGCTACTTTATCATTCAAAATATATTGTTCCAAGTTTAATAGATGTAGGGGAATAGACTGAAGAGAACAAAAAACAGCAATAGTGAGTACTCCTACAAAGAAGAAGAAGAGACTAGAAAACATTTTAAAGAAAAAGCATCTCCACAGCAGCATGGCAGAAAATAAGGCCACCTGACAACACTGAAGAAGATGCCGGGGGGGGGGAGGGGGGGAGCAAACCTCTTTTACATTAGGGAAATGCAAAAATTATCCAAATAGAAAGTGTCAAAAGTATGATTTTTTCAGCAATCCTTCAAGAACCATTTCCACACAGGTCAGGGATGGGCAATAAAAAGGAAGCAGCCCACCAGGGTTAGTCCCTGGCAGGCCACCACCTCTACGTTTATCTGTGCATTTGCAGATATCGGACAACTGCAGCTCTCATTGACCATGAACCCCAGTTCGCAGCCAATGTAAGCAGTAGGAAGCAGCACAGACCATTTCAGCAATCCTTCAAGAACCATTTCCACACAGGTCAGGGATGGGCAATAAAAAGGAAGCAGCCCACCAGGGTTAGTCCCTGGCAGGCCACCACCTCTACGTTTATCTGTGCATTTGCAGATATCGGACAACTGCAGCTCTCATTGACCATGAACCCCAGTTCGCAGCCAATGTAAGCAGTAGGAAGCAGCACAGACCAGGACGCTACTTCCTGCCACTTGCATTGACCGCAAGCGATGGTTCATGGTCAACGAGAGCTGCAACAGTCCGATACCTGAAAAAGCACAAGTAAACATAGTGGTGGAGGCTAGCCAGCAACCAGGGCCGGCCTTAAGCTGATTCGGCAGGGCCCCCGGCCCAAGGGGGCCCACCACCCCC